AAACACATTTAATGAATGATACGAGACGTCCTCACACCAATACATCTTGATTTTCTAGATTCTATTTACAGAAAAATAAAATTGCTTTAAATACTTGACAGCGCTTAGAGAACGCCTACACTCCGCCTACCGCTTCCACCTAACGTAAAAAAGGGCGTCAAAGTGGGCAGCGCTTTTCTTGAGCACGCCAATGGGCATCATTCCGATGCTAATCTGCTACACACTCATTCCATGCAACCTACTACGTGGCACATCTCTAATCGCCAAATAAAAAACGCACGTTTCTAAAAGACCAACAATCTCAACAGTCAAATCCCCGAAAACGGGTCCCACGTTTGTCCACGTCATCGTCCGACGTGGCACTCCAACCAGGCGATCTCCTTGGCGACGCCGCCGACGCCGCCGCCACCGCCACCGCCACTGGCTGCTCTAAAACCCTACTCTCCCTCTTACAATAATGAATCTCAAAATCTGAAAATTCCACAGTGCGAAACCGAAATCGAACGCGAAATTGGTACAATTCTAACCCTAATTTCTCTCAAATCCGAGTTGTTTTCAATATCTGTTTGTGAAATTTGATCCTTTTTTTTTTTGTTTATCAGAGATGGATCGGTACCAGAGAGTAGAGAAGCCGCGACAGGAGACGCCGATCAACGAGAACGAGATCCGGGTCACCACTCAGGGCAGGATGCGCAACTACACTACATACGCCACCACTCTCCTCCAGGTTCACCATTTCTTCCCTTGAAACATACATTCGAAGTTCTTCATGATCTTTGCTTGTTTTACTAATCAGATTTCTTAATTAGCTTCTGAGAATGCAGAATAAATTAGTTGCTGTTTTAGTAAACATTGTCAATTAGTTGCTATTGATGTTGCAATTTTACTAATGATTTTAGGGGTTTGTCTGGCACATGTTACATGAAACAATAAAATTTAATTTTTAATTTATCAACTGTTTAATTACATTTTTTTATATTAAAATTAATATCAATTTTTATTTTTTTTATATATATTTATGATGAAAAGATATATATTTTTTTATGTTGATTGTACAACGAAAGACAATCCTCTCTGATTGTTAATTCCACCCCAGTCGCTCGTATGTTATGTGATTCGAATTCAAGAACTCTTACTTCCAATGAAAAGAGATTAGCACTGAGCTATTTAAGTAGTTAGTAATGAAAAGATATATTTAATATATCTTTAACCTGTGCACTAATATAAAAATCCATGATTTTATGAGCTTTTAACATAATAATTATTTTAACTTGCAAAATGATTATTGTTTTTAATCATTGATTGACATTCCTTGAATAGGAAATGGGATCTAAGTGAGATTGTTCTCAAAGCCATGGGTAGAGCTATAAACAAGACAGGAATGATAGCCGAATTGATTAAGGTGCCTTTTCCATTCTTTGTTTCTAATTTTTGCTTGTTTAGTTTGCACGGTATCTTGATGTTTATTGTTCCATGCATATTTGTCTGTTGTGTTCACAATTTATTACTTCCTTTTTTTTTAGAGAAGGATTGTTGGTCTTCATCAAAACACATCAATTAGTTCTACTAATATAACTGATACGTGGGAGCCTCTTGAAGAAGGCCTTCTTCCGTAAGAGTTTTTACACCATCTGTTGCCTTGATGATTGCATAAAGAATGGTGCTTTGCCCTGATTATTTCATATAGAATGGTGCTTTCTTGATAGGTGTTGCTTGTTCTTCTAATTTCTGATGCAGTCTGGAAACCACTCGTCATGTGGCAGTGATAACAATTATCCTGTCCAAGAAGGAACTAGATACATCCTTTGCAGGGTATGTTTTGTATCCAGAGCTCATTGGTTGGTGTTTTGTCCACCATTCATCAACTTATAGCTCAACCCCACAGAAAACCACTCATGGACAGTCGTTCCCATATGTACCTCAACTCTTCCCCACTTGTCCTACCAAATGTGCCAAAAATAGTTCATGATAGACAATAAGTTTTAAACTATTATATTGCAGGTATCAACCACCAATTTCTGCTGATCAAGTGAAACCATTAATTGAGGATGATCATGAACGAGGTGAAGCTAATTATTTAATTGTTTGAGATTTTATTCCCTTGCAATGAATTAATAAATGTAACTCTAGTTTATGGTTCCAGAGGGCTCTCCCAGAATGCGGGGTAAAGGACGTGGTGGTCGAGGAAGGAATGGAGGTATATTTACAGCAATTTGTCCTTATTATACTTTGAATGTGGTTTTACCATGTTGTTAGGAAAGTTTGGTGTGCAAATTCTCCAACCTCCTTCAGCGCATCTTGATAGATACATAGCCATTCCTTTTCTACTTTTCCCAATTAAAGTGCCTAACAACAGCATAAAGGAGTCCAGAATGGATGAGTTATAAATTTTTATTTTCTGATGTTGCCATGGCATCTTTTCCTTTTGACTTTTGCAATGTACTGATTCCTCTTGAAGGATCAATTAAAAAAATTCCGATTTATTTGATCTTGTGTATGTACAGTGAATAATAATGATAATAACTATAACAATGGAGTGGTGGAGTATAATGGCAATGGGGTTTCCGTGGGCGTAGAAGAGTTTATGTTGGTGGAAACATGCAACAAGAATCAGGTGGTTACAATGACTATAGGGGAGGTTACAATGACTATAGGGAAGCAATACCTGCTCGTGGACGTGGTAAGCTTCATTCAACCTTCCTTGTTCATTCTAAATTCTAATGCCTTGTTTACATGTCAAATCTTTTTCAAGTACTTTTTTTTTGGGCCCAATTTTCAAGTACCTTGATTAATTAATACATTTTCCTATGTACATTTGTACGTTGCTTCTTAGACTATCTGGGTGTTGTTACTCCTGTGGGGCTTTGATGCTTCTATGATGAAATCATGAAAAATAAAATAAGGAAAATTTCTGCTTGGTTGCAAAAGATTTTGCTTATACATGAAGAACTAGCCTATTATACTCTTGATATCAACGGTGTATACAAGTTCCAGAAGGTTTTCCAAGTTTGATCAAAATCAAATAATTTGGTTCTTGCAGGACAAGGGCGTGGCAGAGGCAGGGGCAGGGGTCGTGGGCGAGGCTGGACTCAGGATTCTAGGTCATGGTCCTGTCCAGGCTGCTACATGATGTCTACACAGTGAGATTTGCTGTGCAGAAAGTTCAGGATGCCTGCTTTGCTTTTGTAGCCTAGGATGAAAACGGGTAGGAAAAAAAAATAATAATAAAGAATGGATTTTGGTAATGGTTTTTTGAGGACTCTGGTTGTAG